AAAACCTCAATATCATGAATTAACAGTCAGACTCAAGATGTTTATTGCAACGTTGTGTCTTTTCTGTATTTGAATTTATTTATTACAGTATAACAAATTGAGAGATGCACTTTCTTTTTCATCCCTTGCGTGTGATTCAATGCCAGGACGCGTCTTGTTTTCTTGTCAAAGCTGCGAGCAGCTGAAGGCTTTCCACGTCTGACCGCACAAGCTCAGTGTCCAAAGCTGCGACCGCAACACAAAACTTATCCGCTCCTTCTCCTCCTTATCCTTGCTGCCATTGTTGCCCTCCCTCCACTCAACATGCACGTCTTGCAGCAGCAGCAGTCCTCAGCAGACTCGGCTCCCACCTCCTGACCATTCTCCTGCTTGAGAAGCTTTTCAGGTGCTTTAACACACTCAGATGTGTGTGTTGAATGTTCTTTTCTCCTCACCAGAAAAACTACTAGAGAGGCAATTGCGGCACAGCGTCAAAGGAGAGTTGCACCACAAATTCTGTGATAGCCATAGTTGTGGAAGTGCAAATAATTGAAAATGTGCATCCATCCATTATCTATACCTCTTATTCTTTGAGAGTCATGTGGGGAGCTGTAGCCAATCCCAGCTGACATTGGCCGAGGGGCAGGGTTAACCCCGGACAGGCCGCCAGCGCATCGTATATTCACACCTCCAGTAGATTTAGAGTCTCAAATTAGCCCAACCCCAATCTGCATGTTTTTGGACTGTGGGAGGAAGCTGGAGTAACCGCACAAAAGCCACACAGACAAAGTGAGAATGCCTTTCCACACAGAGGGAAGTACCACCTGAAGTACAAACATGTATTTAGATAAAAGTAATGGTACCACATAAACTTGTCTCTAGAGGAAGGTACCACCTGAAGTACAAACATGTATTTAGATAAAAGTAATGGTACTACATAAACGTGTCTCCTTAACTAAAAGTATGTTCTTGTTTTGAAATATACTTTGAGAATGTTACAATGTTACATGCCCGCTCTGATTGGATCAATTCCTCTTTGTATATAAAAAAAAAATATGTGAACACACAATGCATTAGAAAATGTAGAAAGTAAAAATATCTGCTGATATATGAAGTGGAGCAAAAGTCAAACAGATCCAGGATCAACTCTGAAAAAATATGACAGAGCTGATCTCTTTAAGAAGTTTGAGTCAGATGCTCATCTGGCTCTCTCCCTCAGTTATTACTTTTCATTCATGTCAACTGCATGGATGAATGAACTGAATATCCAGCACGGCTGTCAGGTTTTATTTGAGAGTTGGACATGTAGCAGTCAGCTGGCTTCTGTGTGGTTTCTGTGGCGTTTGTCCCGTTTCTCTTAACTTGCTCCAAAGGAAAGCTGCTGTGCGCTGAGCGCTCTATCGCTTCTCTCCTCCAAAGACGATGGCATCATTGTGTGAGCCATCAACCAAATCGGGGAGTGTATGTTGGTTTATATGTTTGTGTTTAACAGCCAGACACCAGCTAATCTGCCTCTTCAGGCCTGGGTGCATGTGGTTTGATTGACAGACAAAAATTGAACCCAACAACTGTCCATAGATTCTGATTTAAATGTTGCTAACGCATCAACTCTGCTATACGCTACACTAATCCAGAGTTTAAGAAACACTTAAAAGGAGAAGTTTGGAAACTCGTTTTAGTTTGAAAACATCTGAACCAGCAGGAAACTGGAGGAGCAGAAACTGAGCCGTTCGGAAATTTTTACATGCATGGACACTCAAAATCAGTTGCTGATTGGGTCTTTTGGTCATGACGTAGATTTCACTGTTTTGTCAGGCTCGGATCACATTACCTCTTTTGAAAGGAAAGCAACCATTAGCTCTCCACTGTTGTGGAGTTGGATTCAGCATTTTACAATACTAACCCTAATCTCTCTTTTCTCCATCGCTCCTTCTCGTTGGTAGCCCAGCTCTCTCTGCAACCAACGCTTCCTGTTTACACCAGCACGTGCATGCTCGGTGTCAGCTGTCCCAGGTGACATCAGAGCAGACATCATGAGTCATGTAAATGACCAGAAATAGAGCTTTAATATAGGACCTCCTCTGCTGAGGACAAGAAGCTGATAGAGACTGATAGAGACTTATGGGACCAACCCAGAATAAAACCCCAACTGGCAGCATGACATGATTTCCCCTCAGTAGGTTTCCTGTCCTCTTTTTTCTCACTCCATCACTCATTCATATGCTTCTGAGGAGCCCATAATCAACCTTCACGCAGACCATCCACACTCACCCGCCCGCCCGCACGGTTTTATATCCACCCCAGTGATCAGCCGGGAGTTCAAGCGATTCACCGTGATGGCTTCCTCTTTGCCCCTTTTTCCTTTTTTTTATGCCTGGTGGCATTTGCAAAAAAAAAAAGAGGGGAGCTCTGTTGTGGAGAAAGTTCAGCCTCCCATAATCCGCTTTGCCTTTGTGAAGCGAGTGACTTTGAAACTCGCTATCGCAATTACCTCAACCGCCACCCCGCTCCTACTCCCCCTGCTCACCGGAAATAGAAAGAGAGACGTCGGTCTCTCTGTTTCATCTGCCTCTCGAAAAAATCCTCCCATTTGTTTGGGGAATTGTAATTCTCCCTCGCTCGCCTTTCCCTCGCTCTTTTTTTTTGTTCTTAAATTATCTTTCATTATAGTCTAATAGTTTTTCTCATTTGGAGCCTGGCGTGCATAAACGCACATGGAAATTAAAACTTTTCGGTTTGTGACAGAGATTAGCGTCGAGTGGAGGTCAAACATAATAGCTTCCATTTAACAAGAAAATAGATATGATTATACCGCGCTTGCTCTCCGTTCAACTTTTCGTCCTCAATCTAAACGGTGCTGCTCCGATAGCTCTGCCCTCATTACGCAGCAACAAAAGGGCTCGGGGCCGACGGTTCACGCCGCCACTGCTCGCTATTTGTCTTCCTGTGTTTAACATTGGAATAGGATTCTGAGGCTGCAAAAACAGACTGAGAAAATTTCATAGGTGCTGCTTATCCCTCCTCCCTGTTCGCTTGTAATATTTATAGTGTGCATCAACAAAGACTTAAGGCTTTTGTTGCGGTCGCATGAACAAATCAATGAATATTCAGCATGTACTGGAAGATTAAGCAGGACTATAGCTGTGTATCTGAACTCTGCAGCGTTATTGGTTCATCGCCATCTGTAAATACCCTAATCTACCTCGGATTACAGCTGCAACATCTTCTTCAGACAGATAAAAACACACAAGCTCTCCTAAATCTACACTGCCGATGTAAAATAAAAGAAGGATTAGAGAATGTGTGTCGACGCGACAGAGGAGACAGTGAGGGACGATAAAGAAGATCTTTTCTTGATTGAGGTGTCATGTCCACCATTACCACGCTTCAGGGATGTAAATACAAATGTTAATTTCATGCTCATATTAGTTCATCGCTCGGCTCAATCAATTCTGTTCAGTAGCGATGACGGAAAGAATGAAGTGTGTTTTTTGTTTTTTTTGCAGCCAGAAAGCTTTTAAACCTGCTGCTTAAGGCTCCAAATGAAATATCAATTTGTACAAGGTATACAGTTTTGAACTCCTCCACCTTATAAACCCAAATGACAAATGTAGGTCTGTAATAAAAGTGGGCCACATGTTCGTCTCTTCAGCCCAAAGAGCCTCGCCCGGTGCCACGGCTGATTTTTCATGCGCATAATCTGCCTCGTATTGACCAAAGTGTCGACATTCCTGCACAACTTCATTTGTTGTTTCGAGTTAATGCGAGTGAACACATCCTCCCACTGTTGCAGGCAGCTGAAGACGCCATGACAGCTCAGTGACATGAATTAAGAAGCATGAGCGCTTGTATAAGAGTGAAGAGATGCCCAGAGCTTGAAGAATTGAATGAAAACCACACATTACTTCTAAATGTCAACTGAGTTTATGTGAGAAAAAAAAAGGATACTAAAAATATGGACGGGAGGGGGGTTTGAGTGTATGCATGAAATATATGTTTGTGGCAAATCCGGAACAAATGTTTAGATACCTGACAAATGAAGACATCAATCTGATGGACAAAATATGTAAAATTTGAATTAAAGCTCAGTCTTTATTAAGCCACAAATATTGAGATGATGCCTTAGGCACCAACAAAACATACTTTTTTCTGTAATATTCCTCACTTAATTCTATTTATATAAATACAATTTTGAATACAGAAATGGAGCAAGTTCCTAGTTCAGGCTGCCAACTCGAGCTGGGCTGCTCCAATCATGTGACATACATCATGTGACATACCTCACCCTTCCACAATCATCTATAATACACACCAACCCTCGTAGGCGGTCTATTTAAGCTCCTCCCCCACCCCAGCATCCACCTGTAGGCTCCGAGGGACTCTATAAGAATTTGCTCATGAACATGAAATCGGAGCCTGGACGCCAAACACTAACATGTTCTACTGTTGCAATAAACATGTGAATGTGAGTTATCTCACTAAACTTTTATAATGTATTATATTCTATAAGCTCATATTCCATGTGGGTAAAATTTAGATTCTGTCCAACTGATGGATAGAAGTTATGTAAAATTATTAATGTAAAATTGTAAAATAACCATGTTTTCTTTTCACCGCTGAAAGTAATCAGGAGTTATCCCATAGCAGGAGGGTCGGTGGTTTGATCCTAGTCTCTCCCACTCCACTCGCATGTCCTTGGGCAAGATACTGAACCCCCACATATCTTCAGACAGCGGAGCCGGCATTGTGACTGTAGGAATGTGTGTGTGAATGGCGAGAGTACACTGTACTACACAAGTGCTTTGAGATGTCATCCAGACTGGAAGAGTTACACACAAATACAGATTATTGACCACTTACAATTGTGCAACTTCATTCACAAAATGAACTTTCAGGAGCAATACAGACCTGGGGACAGTTACTCATTTTACTCAGGGTTTATGGAGATATAGATCCCAACTAATCAGACTGTTCCTTATACGACCATGAAATGCTTCAAAATAAAAGCACATGAGACCTTCCTTTTCACCATTTGTTTCCGTTTATTGTTGGCATATTGGTGTGTTTGTAATGTGTGAGAAAGAAATGAGTGTCGACTGCTTTCCAACTGCATTTGTGTACAACACCTTCTGCATTTGGCCTCGTTATTGTCCTGTTTCTTAATAAATGTACCCTTAAAGTTTTGGTTACAATGACACAAAATTACCACTGATTTCAATCTAAATTATTACCTTCTTTTTATTTATAGACATAATCTTTATCAAGATCCAAAAGTGGAAACAAAAAAAAAATGAAATAATGTCAAACAATGAGAACCTCTGTCTCCCAGTGGGAAAATAAAATAAAACAACAGCCTTCATCAGAGGCTTTTAACCACGAGTCAAACCTCTGAATCAGAGCGTGGAACCAAATGGATAGCACGCCTTCAGAACAAGTAGATATAGATGGATTTATATATAGTTTTATATTCAGCTTGAAACTTTTAAAAGAGTACAGTAAACACTTCTCACACATGATAGAAACTACTTGACACCTCAGAAAAGTGCAGGCTAAACACTGTCCAAGCCCGGGATTTGGCAAACAGACCAAATCCAATGAAAGAGAACAAAAACAAAATGAAAAGAACTCAGAAAAAAACAAAGAAGAAACATAAATAAAAAAAACATCCTGCCCACAATCTTTTCTTACAAAGTTTGAAGTAGATCAGAATAGAGACACCTGACCACATAAACAGAATAGAAAATTCTAAAACTGTGGTATTGCATTTTGAAATGCACAAAGATTCTCCTGTACAATTTGGCGTCTCTCTGCGAGTACAAATGCCTAAAGGGCTCAGTGGCGGTTTCTCTGTGTGGCTGTCATTTCAGTTTGTCTTCAGTATACACATCTGGTCCTCATGTGGTAACGTTTCCCTCAGAGACGTACACATCCGTGCTGTAAACAGGCACACGCAGATTGGAAAAGGAACGGCACGAGACTAGAGAACAGTTTCGTCTCTCCGTCAACGCTGACTTCCTCCTCCTCTGTTTGTTTCTCAGTCCCGCTGAGACAATGGGGGTCCTCCCAGTATAAGGCTATCCGTCTACCTGCCCGCACCCATCTGTCCCACCCCCCTCTCCTCCGTGTCCGACCGTCTCCTCTTCCTGAGAGAGGGGTGCCTCCAAAGCCCGGCAGTGATCCAAGGAATTCCAGAAAGGAAGGAACTCTTAGTTCCTCAAATGGGACAAGGGGGTGGTGATTCACATTTTGTGTTTTGTAGTGTGTTTTTATTTATTCTTTTTTATTTTTATTTATTTTTTGCTGGGTGAGGAGGGATGAGGAAGGGAGGGTAAAATGTGTTGAAAACGTAATGCTTCTTGGTTTTTTTCGTTGTTGATTTTTACAGCCTTGGTCATCAGGGAGTGATTGTGCAAAGTCACGCGGTTTCCGATATGTCCACCCGGAAGGAGCTAGCAAACCCTTTTCCTCGCTGTAAGAAGTAGAGAGAAACACAAACTGGTTAGCTCCGTGTGTGAGTGAGTGTGCGTGAGTGTGTGTCGAGCTGCTTTCAGACATGCACTGAATTTCAGATATTCTTCTGAAATGATCTGGAGGGGTTAGAAGTGAGAACAAATTTTTCTGAGTCAGTTGCTGTGGAAATCCTCTGGAGTTTCTCCTTCCAGCCCCCAAATACAACCTTTGGATAAAGTCTGAATGAACCAGTGTGAGATTCAAACAGGGGATGATCCAGACGATTAACCACGAGCGAGTGGGCGTGGTGATGACGTTTCGAATACGCCACAGATACAAAAATATAAAAACAAATAGAATACAAATATGCAAGGCTCCAACCGAAATGTTGATATTTGAGAGTTTTTGGTGATGTGAGCCGCAAAAAAACGTGATCTGAACAGAGACTTTTTTGGGAGTTTACGTCTGAAAATAGCTCAAGAGTGTGTGTATGTGGAGTGAGTGTCAAGATTGTCTGAGGGATGACAGAAAAGGAAACAAAAAGAAAGTAAACCAGTGCTTAAATGGCCTCATTCACACAGAGTCTGCGGGTTCACACATGCACAACAAGGGGTAGGAAGTGTCACATCTCTCGTCTTGGTCGTCACCGTTCTTTCTTGTGAAATGGCTCGAGGATAATATGTGTGTGACCATGTATGTGAAAGGGGGGGGGGGGTTCATGTTATGGGAATGGTGCCGTTGGACTGTGGGTGCATTTCACAGCAAGTTTATTTAGGGCAGCAACAAAAGAGGGAGGCTGAGCTGTAACCTCTCCCCGCCCCCTCCCTCCCCGACTCAATGTTGTCTGAGTTTGATGACGGTAATCACTGTGGGCTCCGACCACCCCTGCACCCCACCCTCACGTCGACCCCAGGCCGGGTCCAAGTCCGGGCCTGCGGGTCCCAGGACAAAAGAGTCTCTGTGTATCAGTGGCTGACTTGATCAGATTAAGGGGCTTCAGCCTGTATCATCATTCTATCCCTTCCTCCACCCCCGGCCTCCCCCTGTTCTCCCCCCTCCCTTCTCTTCTGACTGTTGTTCAATCTTTGCCTTTATCCACCCCCACCCAAGCACCCACCCTACCCACACACACAATCACACACTGCCACCCCCACATTCATTAGCATAAGGCCCACAGTAATCTACTTTGAGAGAGGAATGAGTGGCGGCGTTCCTGGGAAACGCAGCAATATTGCGAGCCCTTCACTTCGAGTGCTGCATCATAAGCGCATAATAAGCACCTCCATGGTAACTGTAGAGAGCAGCACGCAAAAGAAACACAGTGTCCGTCGAGCTGAAGTCTGCAAAGTGTAAAAAACAAAGTTTGAATGACACAGTTTTTCACTGTGTCTGTTACTGTGGTTTGAAATAGCACATTTAGCCTGAGTGGTCTTGTTTCATTTCTCTGAGCTTCTGGGACAAACATGGTCTTTGAGCCGTTCAGACTCATGAAATCCTTTCACTGTGAAATATGCATAGTCACACCACAGCGAGGTTACTATGCTTTATTATATCATTAGACTGACAGGTTTTTAAAAATATATATTCCATTATAATGTTAGATGCTTGTTATCAAACAACACAGGCTTACATCACCACAACTGTTATACTGGTTTTCATTTGAATTTTTTAATTGCTGATTTTTTAACTTAATTAATGAATGTAATAAGTACAAGTCCTCACCATGGTCAATATAATGTTACTATGAACGGCTCGGAACACAGCTGATTTAATTAATTAACATGTTCTGTTCATATCACTGACGTATTCTTCTTCTCAAGCACTGTCACATTAAATAATCACCACTGTTATAGTTGCTTGATGTTTTTATCTATTTATATTTTCTGTTTAATGGCTCATCTTGAACTATTGAATGATATTATTGCTGTAAATCCTCATCATTATGAATACAAGTCTCATCCACAACCTGATTGGCTTGATTTGTATTTATAAAAAAAATTAAAAAAGGAACGATGTGAAAAACATCTGAAACTCAGACCCACCGTGACACTGAAGTCACAAACACAATTAAGACAACGCTGCCGGCGCCGTGCTAGAACACGGACATTCTGATTTGAGCAATTGGTTCCTTGTTTGAAATAACTTTTTGATTCAGGATAAAAAAAGAAAACATAGAGAATGAATAAAACATTAATTAAAAGAAAAAAGTGATTTTTTTCCCGCTGTTCCGAGCAGCACGCTGTGGTTTTAAATGATGGCGCTCGGGAAGCAGCAGGGCTCTGACAGTCTGATAATTCCAGCGAGCTGTGTGAGACGATGAGAGAAGGGGCCTCTTCAGGCACCGCTTGACAAAATTATAATTAAGCATTATCACTAAATTGCAGTGATTGAGGATGTATCTCTTTGTGGCCTTTGAATGAGAGTAAAGAAAGAGTAATTCCTTGGGAAATATGACTTTTCCCTTCTTTTTCCCCCTCCTCCAATTATCTAAAACGTTTTTTTGATCCTCAGCTCCAACGCAATGACGTCTGTCGAATGAGAATGAGATGCTAAGGTCGCTGCCTGCTGTTCTCCTCCGCTGATTAAAAACAGACATTTTTCATTGCTGGGCGTAGTGAGAGGGCCAGTGTCTATATTACGGCAGCCATTTTATTCCATAATGAGACAGAGCTTCCTTAATGCTAACATCTCCACCCACATCTAAGCAACCGTATAGATCATAATTGGTTTTTGGCATGTTTCATTTGGCAAGGCCCACAGGCCAGTCGGTGCTGGAGGTTTGTGCGTGCGTGTGTGTGTGTGTGTGTGTGTGTGGTGGGAAGTGAAATGGTAGGTGAGGGGAGATAAGATCATCACAGTCACACATAATGGAGATGCTTAACAAAGAGGGAAGAGTTAGTTAAACACCCTGACAAGAGGGCTGAGAAAGGTCGGAGCTGAAATGAATTTCATGCATTCCTTCTTCCAGCCAATCTGAGGAGAAAATTGAATTTGGAATCTTTTTTTTTTTTCACCTAATTCGATCAGCAGATCAGGGAGATCAGGGGCGGGTGCTTGGGCCCGAGCGAAAACACAATACTCACATAAATGAGCTGGGTTACAAGGTGTTCTGGAGCTAGGCAGAAATGCCTCCAACTCTTTCCTCTCTAGGGAGCTGTGGTGGTGTCTGACGTGATGGTTTTGGAGAAGATGGTGGTGATGGAGGTGTTGGTGTTGATGACTGACAGGCGTCTCTTTGCCAAAGGTGGAGAATGACTTATCGCCCGTTTGCTCTGGGCTTTCAAATACCTCTGTGTCGGGGACAGAGTCCATGCCAGGCACGTGGAGGTTGCTGCGGTAGTCCGGACCCTGGCGCCCATCGGAGGGCATGAAGCTCGGCATCCAGCAGCGATCTGAGTGGCCCAGGGCCTTGCACTCCTCCGTGCAGTTAGAGAACAGATCGGCACCTGCGCATCAGGGGAGGGAGAGAGAAAAAGAGAAATGTGGAAAAAGTGTTGGAGGTCGCAAGTATTTCAGCAAGACAGTCGCACAAAAACGCAGACAAACTCCACAGTATCTCCTGCAAGACTTTAACTGCTATGTACTTATGCAACTTGCTCTTTGATTCCTCGAGTCAGGATTTTCTGTTTCAACAGATTTTAATATGTAAGCCTCCCACACACACACACACAAACGCAAGTATTTGATGGTAATTGTGCTTCACTTCATTGCAGTGGGAACACGTAGGGCTACTTTTTACTTCTATAATCTTTATTTTACTATAAATACTTGCTACATACTTACATTACAGTTTAAACAAAGAGCACACGATACATGTGGAACATGTAGAATCCTTCACTTGTGTCTTTTTATGAAAGCACAAATCATATCTGCAAATTATCTGATAATTTAAAAGGAGGCAGAGAAACAAAGTACTTTACAGAAACACAGAAAGTGTCTCGTTGATAATATGTGAGAACTCAGGTGAGAACATTTCCCATTCACAGTCTCTCCAGCACAATGATTGTGCAGCCTCTTTCTCCAGCGGTGCATGCTTTCAACTTTTTTAACAGTTGTAACAGTACAACCTTGACCTGTTTAAATCCAAAGGAGAATGATTGTATTTGAGCCCCACGTTGTTAATTACTGATGCTGTAATTACACTAGTTCCCAGTGCAGTTCCCATTGACACAAGACACATTTATCTCAGTTTTTTATGAAACATGTTTGTTGTTAAAGGTGCAGTGTGTAGAATTCTGTGATATCTAGTGTTGAAAAGTATTTAAATATAAAGGGCCTTTTCTGGGGTAAAGAAAACTACAATTCATACAATTTAGATGAAATGAACTAGTGAAAACATCATGAGGATTATTCTACATTTAATTTCTGCCAATAGTTCCCTTTCACCTAAATCTCACTGGACCTTTAAATACTAAAAAATGGACTAAATGGTCCTGAAGCAGTTGTCGAGGCTCATGCTGAGCTCTGTCCTGAGCTTGAGGACATTTCTTACTGTTTGCAAGTGAAAAGTATTTTTTTCAAGCTTTTTTCACTTTAAGGTGAAGTGATTATGTTTTAAAAAATTCATATTAGTGAATTAGTTAAAGCAGTCAACCACAGGAACTACATTCTTAGTCATCCCTGAATTTGAATAAAGAGCTTTGGGATATGTACAGCCTGAAAAATAGAACCAAGCCAAGCAATTGGGAGGCATCATGGCTAAATTGTTTTTTTCCCCTCTCTGTCAAACCAAACTATGACCTAATTACTAATATGAAATAATTCAGACAAAATGAAGAGAGTGGGAGAAATTGGTGGGTCAGTAGGGAGCCCACACGCCTGCTCACGGCACAAGCTTCTCAACACTCTCATTCTCTAAATTCATGAAATTATTCATGATGAAAAAAAAAAACAATTAATCAAATGGCACATTTATTCAGAGGAGCCATCAAAATATGAGATATGAAATTATGTAAGGTGGAAGATTTATTTTCCAAGCAGCCCCACAGCCTGGATTTTAGAAATATTAAGGTCACTGAGGTGTAAACCTTTTAAAGGATTAGTGTCTCTCATATTTTGATTATTCCCTTTTAGTTCCAGTGTTGTGTTCGTGTGCATACAAATTAACTTTCCATCTCTTTATCGTGCAACTAAATCTTACAAAGTCCCAGAAAAAGGACACATGGGCACATTAATGTGTCCACGATATACAAAGATATACAACCGTCACCAGACTGAGAACTGTATTATTCAAATTGAATCTTTAATCAAACACAAAATATTACAGGTCAGTGGATGTTTGTGTGGGAGCTGCAGCTTCTACATCCAAACATGTGAAAACAAGTAAATGGCTTGATGGAATTTATAAGTCAAGGCAACCGTGTGTGTGTTTGTGTGGGTGTGTGTGTGCATGCAGTCTTCAAAGCCATTGCCAGCAAACTGCTCATGCTCCCTTTTTAGCCAGGACATTAGATGAAGCAAACCACAAACTCAATAGTGTTAGATTACCAGCCTGCCCCTGTCCCAGGCCCTCAGTATCCGTCAGTCTCAGCCCCTTTTCAAACCCCATTGTCCTCCATGAAAGGCTGGCTGCAGGTACAAATGAAAACCAGTTTGAGCGTGCTTCACTTTCATTTGCACTAATTATTTGTGAGGGTTTTAATGGCAGGAATTTGTCAAGGAGAAAAGCACCTCCTGTCAGAGGGCAAAGGGAGCAGAGTTAAAGGGGACAGAGTTAGTAGGAACATTAGCCGTTCGGCACAGCTATTTAGGCCGAGTGTAAGCCTTAAGCCAAATTGTGTTTTCATCGGCCCATATGTTTTTTGCACTGGGGCTTAGATCCTGTGTATGCATGTTTTTTGCAGCCTACATCTGCTCGTTGTGTGTGTGCGTCTGAGTCGCTGTTTGGGGCTAAAATCTGTACTGTCCAGCTAGAGCTATCTGCTGCTAATCCCCCTGAATACAGACTGATCGGGCTAAGACTGCTGCCGTCTCACTAAGCAGTGTGTGAGTGCGTGTTGTGGTGTGTGTGTCTGTAGCAGTCAGCAAACGGGGAATTTGCTTTGTTACAAAGCGGATTAATTTGGCTTGCCATCACTAACAGCTTGGAAAAGTGCCCAGTCTCCTATCGAGAGGAGAGGGTTTCTTATTAAATATTAACCAACATGCCATAAATACACCATCACATTACGTTTTAATACGGCCTCGTCCACCGGAGGAAACAACACAGTGCTTGAATTGATGGGGGACGCGACCAGAACTCACGCCGGTCGCAGACCTTACGCCATGAGTGCACCTGAACGCACAGGGAGCAGAACGATGTGAGCAGCAAAATAAACCAAAAAAAAAAACAAAGCGAAGTTGGACACGGAGCTCTGCTTCCATTACAAAATGGATGCTGTGTTAATTCTCAAAATGGGAACAGGAAATGGCATTTAGACTCAGCCAGAGAGATAAGACTGTCACACACACACACACACACACACACAGCGAGACAGAGAGAGAGAGAGAGAGAAAGAAGAAAAGACGGAGAGAGAGGGAAGCAGAGGGTAATTTCAGTCATAAAGACATATCAAGACATCTTGATATTTCTTGACATTTTGGCTAAATTAGATGTTCCCCATGAACATTAGACAGCGTCTATCAGACCAGACTGATAAAACCATTTCAGCTGTAACAGTGACCCTCTCAGCATACACACACACACGGAGGCCGGGCCGAGCATTAAATGTCTATAAAGGTTTTGGGCGATTATATCTCCACTATGTCAATTTCCAAACATATTCTCAGAGCTCATTCATCAAGGGTTGCGATGCTCAGTCCGGCTTCTTCTGCCCTCCGCTCTCATGTAAAAGAACTGTGTCAACACGCATCGCGCTAAGCCAAACACAAGTGAAGAGGCCAGCAGGGAGACAGCGAGCAGGAGGGCGGGGCGCTCTTGAGGCGTGCTGACCCCTCGTTACTTCTGACGCCTCATCTCATCTTGGCATTCTGCACGGCGCTCGCGTGGGGGGGCAAGCGGCAAAGTCTCGATAATAACCTTCATTTGGTAATTGGTATGCAGAGGTCTGAAAAAATGAATTACTGATCAGCGAGCTGTTACCACGGCGATAACGTGAAATGCAGGCCTAAGGAGGAATTCATCACGACAGCGGGGAGAGATGGGAGTGGATTGGGACGGAGGGGGCTGGTGGGGGGTGGGGGTAAAAAATTGGATAAGCGTCTTGACTTAATCTTTGTGCGTGACACTGGCTATATTGATAATATGTACTTTACACAATGTAGCTGGACTGGATGTGGGGCCCCTGAGGGGACTCCCTGGGCTGCAGAAGTGGTGCTGCAGGAGCATCGGCTCAAATGAGGAGCACTTTAATCCCACTGTGATTTAATTTACCAGGAAATGTGCCCATCACAGAATGAATGGAATGACCTTTTAACCTGCACCACAGAGAACTCTACAGGTCAACATTAAACGTTGACCTGTAACTGGTTCTTTTTTTATAGTTCAGAATTATCTTTCCCACATCAGCTCCTGGGTCTAAATATGATCAAGTGCAGATTATAATACGTCCACGTGAAAATCAAGTCAATTACTCAGTTTGTTGAGAAAATATATTTTTTGTCTGTTTTGATAAATATGTGATTAGTTAAACCTAACAGGAAGCTTCTGTTAATAAATGTTTTCAAGAACTGTAAGCTACCTAAAAATAATTCTCAGCTATTTTAGCTCGCTGTCTTTTCTCGTGAATGTTGTATTGTTATTTTGTTGATGTGCTTCGCTACAAGTGAAATCTATTGCACCTCTGTCCATCCTGGAAGACGGATCACTCATTTCATGCTCTCTCTATCCATTTTTCCACCTGTTTATTGGAGTTATTTTGGTAGTGTTTCCTTAGCCGAAGGTTAGGGGAAGAGGATGCTGCACCTTGTTAAACCCTCAGGGACAAATAGTGATTAGTGAATATGCTCTTTAAAAACATAATTGGATTGATTACCCTCAATATCTGTAAAACGGAAAGTATATGTACACAAGAGGGAACATCTATGTAACTGTGTAATGCATTTACAGCATTAATTGTTATTTTATTTATTAAACTTCACTGTTACTATATTATTAACCCTAACCCTCATTTAACAAAGTGTTTTCGATCACGTTATGTTGGTGTGAATAAATTAAATAATGTGAGTTTTGAGTAAATAAAGTTAAACTTAATCATTCTCTAGTTATTTGATTTATTCACACTCACTCAACATGATATAAAACCCTTTATATTGAACTTATGTAATAAAGTTACGTGGGACTTTTTTAATTGAAATAGAAAAAGTCAATGTTTTAGAGATATTTTAGTATTATTTAGCTTTTTACGTCAGTACATCCTTTATCATATTTAAATAGTTTATCTCCAAGTCAATATATATGACCACGAGAGTGAAAGTACAGTGGATAGACATGACCCTAATGGTTCATAATTCAGCTTAATAGGATCATTTTGAGTGTTCTCACTCTGGGCTGCAGCACCTTGTGAACAGTCATACAGTGGAGCTCTAATGAAAACAAAAACAGCTTTCAGTGCCTTCTAACACTTCTAACGCGAGCAGTCTTGGTGTCTGTGATAGCATGGCACACTCGTGCACTTCCAGGTTGACGAGGAAAAGGATCGGCCTTCCCTGTGATAGCAGGTGATGAATATGTTACATTAACAGGTCATACAGTTTAGACGCAGGGGTGATGGTGACGTTTGCAGGAGTGATAGAAATAATAGATACGGCAATTATAATATGTATAATTCTAAATACAATATTTATGCATTTAGCACCACTTTCACTGCATTAAAACCTGCGTCAAGGCTTAAATCACGGAGGGGTTTAGATCACGCCATCACTGCTCTGCCTCCGCACACTGCAGCGAGCAACAGCACAGAAAGGGGGACAGAGTCCTTCCTATACAAATTCTGCATTAATGATAATTTCATTCTCATCATCACTTTGGGTGTTTTCATGTGGAAAATAAATAAACTGTTGTAACCTACTGCAGGCTCTCATATGCTTGGTCCCTCTAGGTTTTTGAACTGCCTCCAAACACAAGTTCAGAGTGTGTGTGTGTGTGTGTGTGCGCTCGATGCACTCGCGCACCATGTGACACCTTCCTCTGCTCACACCACAGCGCCTCCGTCAGTTATGTTTCCTTCCCAGTCCTGCTCTGCTCATGCTTTGGAACGTTTACAGTGTGTAACATGTCGTCCCTGCTCTCTCACAGCAGCACAGCGGTGTGAGTGAAGCGTAACGTTTTCACTCTGCACACATGGAGCAGGAGAGGGCCACAGCGCAGTTATCTTATCTTTAAATCAGTGAATAATGAAGCAGTGTGGAGCAAATGTATTCATTAAATAAATTAATATGATGGTTTTCTGCATGACAGATAAAGAAAATGAAAAGAAAAGTCTTACGTATAATAATCATCCGCTTACAGTGATCAATTGGATGTGGACAAATGAATCTCGCGTTCGACCTTTAATGAAAATGCTCCATCTCTCTCCCACACTCTCTGTCGCGCTCAGCCACACACTGCGACGCCTTGAAAATAACCTTGGCGCTGATCAGGCCAAGGAGGAGTTTGTTCCACATATGATGCAAAATGATCCAAATGGGTCAGAATCGAACAAAAGACGACAAAGAAACTTTGCCGTGAGTTTGTGCTTCATCCTGTTTATATGTGCGTTACAGGTGATTTCTGGACTCTTTGTGCATCCTTGATGTGAAAATAAACCTTGTGGCTTTTGATCAGGTAACAAGCGGGCAAACAGCCTGGAAATGTTGGCACGTCAGCAACAAAAGAAAAAAACAGAGAGAAAATTATGGGGCAGTGAGGGTAAGCAGTACCATCCTTCTCTGCGAGGCCCTTTTCAGCAGTTGAAAACACGTTCAAACAAATCTTATCTCCGTATTTCCCTGCCAGTATGTCCCGATAATGCTTTAATTCTCCATAGAACAAATTTAGTGTAACATCTAAACCAATGTGCTCCGATAAATCTGTCTCACTGGAAGCAAAACTTTCAGCCCTCCTCCCTCCTCCGCTGGTCTATCCATAAAGTCCCCTGTCAAAGTCAGGCGAAGAGGCTAACGCGCCATTGTGATGGATGACATTGACACGTTGATTTAACATTAGCATTTATTAAACACTGACACAGTTCGAGTGTGCCCCTCGCTGCTGACAAACTCAATTAGCACACAGGGAGTAAAGCCTGTGTTCTTTTACCAGCATTGTGGGAGCAGAATGGCGGAACACTAAGCCACGCTATCAATTATCCTAATCAAACAAAGACTTGATGCACAGCAAATAATCTGTTTAAAGGCACTAAGCTGCGTGATAACGCTGCGGCAATGTAACTGTACTCCGCTCGCCGCGCCAAGGGTACTCAAAGTCAGCGGTGACGTGATGCTGATGTTCTGACCACTGCATCACAGCTGGATGTACAGCGTGGCGTGGTGTGAGAGAGTGCAGCTGTACGGGCGGTCTAACACACTTGAGACAGAACTTACAGCAGCTCTGCGGCCTGAGTTGGGGTACAAAGGTAAAACCAAGGTGAACTACAAACCTCCACTCTCTGCTGAAAAGAGATCGGCTTCAACCTTGATACTAAATGGTCTGTTTTTTTATAAAACTCTTTTTTAGTCTTGATGACCACTAAAAGCACAGTCTAAGCCCATCCACATGCTTTCTCACACATCACTCACACACTACTGGCACAGCCATCAAGGACAGTTTGGGGTTCAGTGTACAGGATCAAACCGCAACATTCTGGTTAGTAGACGCACCGCTCTACCTCCTGCGCCACAGCTGCACAAATGATTGTGAGCATTTAACAGAGCAGCTAACGTCTCTGTGGCAAAGAATGTCAAAAACTGTACCAGCAGCTAATGTTTTATGTCTGACGATCAAGTTGAATTATTCTTTATTCAGAAAGTTCCTGATTTAAATTTCAATCCAAGCTTTCAAAATGTTTCCACTTTTAGACTTGACTGTCTTGTTGAGGCCGGGGGCTTATTTTGTTCAAAAAAGGAAAAGAAAACATAAAGGCTGGCCGATTTTCTCTATACTCACAAAACGCTGATGTATTTGAAGCAGGACCACATCTACATGCAGCAGCTGCTGCTGGTGCCACACTGCTGAAAAAGGCCAAACCGCATTTGCAAACAGAACCTGAAAAGACGTCTATCACTCACAGAATCCAAAAGCTGGCACAGATGTTATTCATAGTTTTGTATGATTTTCTTTCATCAGGTCAGCTGCTTATGTTTAGACTGACAACTCCGACATTTCTCAACTTTGACTTATTCAGTGGAAGGATAAAAGAGGGTATATATTTTCCTACATGAAGGTTTAGAAAAGTATTTCCATGTTATTGATACCAAAAGTCGAGGATGAATATCCAGCCAGTCCCGCTTGGGTAAAAGATAGAGAGTATTCATAACAGAATATGAACTCTGGCTGGCAGCGTTGACATGAAATGCTAATGCACTCGAAATAGGACAACTCCATCCAAATAAAGGAGCTGGCTGGCTCAGTCCCGATTAGGAGCAAAGAGGCTCCACAGTGATGGAGAAGAAAAAACCTGAGCTTATTAGAGCTAAAAAAAAAAAAAAAAGAGGGTGGGGGCAGTGAGGAGGGTTTAGCTCTGTGTGTTTCAGTTTACTGATGTCTGCGTCACAAGCCAGTCTAGAGGAGTAACAGTGGAAGTGGCAGGAAAACTTCATTTGGCACTGCGAGGACCAGACACGATGACAGGCTCCGTCCGCAGAGGCCCCCGCCACTGAATGAAGACATAAAACCACCATTCATAACTCAGTGGGGCCCTATTGTATCATCTCGGAGGGGTTCCTTTCGACAGGGAAGATTAAAAAAGAAAAAAAGGATGGGCACGGAAGGATATACGGTCAGTGAGAAAGCAAGGGACAAGAGATGGATTAAGAGAGTGCAGTCAGAGAACAACTGCATGAATTAATGCATTAATGAATCTAATGAACGGATGAATCGCCTGTTTTGTTTGCTACGGCCTCAACCTATTTGGTCCGCATCCCAGCACTCCAGTGCGAGCGTGGCCTCATTAAAAAGCCTGTCACGTCTCGTCGAGTGGTCTCCAGCTCCGAGTGACCGAGCTCACAGGGAGCGGGGCTCCTCATTAACGCCGCCACATATTTACAAACACACAGCGCCGGGGTTTCGCTTTCTGCCCACCGACATTAAATCATTACGTGTCAGAAGAGATGCCGCTTAATGTACACATTAAAGGCGAGCTCTCAGAGGCTTACAGGATTCTGCTTTACCCTTTAAATGTTCTCCCTTTTCCTTCTTCTATTCAAGGGATGTAACAGGAAATCACAAGGCACAGTGGCACTAGAAAGAAATTAGGACGTACTAAAGTACAACGCCCTCGTCATAAAAGCTGATTGTCGGACACGCTGAAGTGCTTTTAGATGATGCTGACTTCAGCCATGTGTGATGCTCGCCATAATTAAAAAGTGCTTTCATTTACCCAGCCCCGCACAATGAGCCGCATGTGAGCTCGAGGAGTCCAGATTTCAGCACTGGAGACATGGGCGGCAAATTGCTCCTGGCCCCCACACCACATGCTTATAAGCAAAGCCTACTCCAGTGCTTTAGAACACTGACTGACTGATAGGGAAAAAAAATGAATAAACTGATAGTGGGGGGTAAAAACAGAGAATTACGTCATAGACAAACACAGCAGAGCAAAGGGAGTTTCTTACCGGAGGAATGGCCTCGATTAGTGGCGTCGTGGTCGCTGTCTCCCTGCTCGCTGTCTCCGTGGCCACTGTCTTTGGAGCTCACCAGGTCTGCCTCCTGGAAAGCCGAGCTGAAACCAAAGACATCACTGAATCAAAAGCCTGGCCGGGTGTTTTTTTTTCAATTTATTTAGAGAGAGATTAAAACCCCCTTTCTAATATTACTGGAGTCAGAGTCAGAGAGCGAATGTGCCAGTGCACGAACAGATAAGAGGTAGCGAACACTGCGAGCACCAGAGAGGCTGCAGGACTTGAGTCTCTCTCCATATTTACCTGTTGACACGTCTTGGCCTGTCAACCAGGTAGCTGAGTTCAGCTCGTTGGTGTTTGGTCTGAAAGAGAAAGGGGGTTGGGGGGGTTGTGTCAGTGTGTGTCACTCTAACAGCCTGTGTAACATGATTAACACATTGAACAAGATAACAGGCAAAAATACATCAGCACCATCCAGCCAGATATGATGCAACCCACACAGTGCCATTGATTGATGCTGTCTGCAAAATTACCCTCAGCGCTCAATCATCACACACAACATTCACATGAGGTGAGGAGTGTGTGTGTGAGAGGAGCCCCCCCCACACAAACACACCAGAGGAATGTGCACGGCTCTACAGATATGTTGCCTGGGCGGCAAGATAAAGTAGTGCACCGATTCAGGCTGGCACCGCCAAGAGATGCATCTTTGTTCTCGTGCAACTCAGCAACATTGTGACCAGTATGCTTAATGCAAACACTCCTCTCCCCAGAGACTCTCACACACACACACACACACACACACACACACACACACACA